CGCGGTGTACTTCGTTCAGTTGTGCTAGTACGCGCGACGATACGATAACCGACCGATGTACGCGTCTGATACGCGTTTCCGGCCACGAACGGAAATCGGGGACGTGGGGCTCGATCGAAAACGCGTGAACGTACGGATAAACGATTTTCGGTATCGTAAAGAACAACCATGACGATCGCGGCGGCGGACCGGAGGCGTCGGACGCGAATCAGGCGAAAACGCGCGCGGACGGGACGAAAAAGGCCCGCTCGGGCTATGGCGGAGAACAGACGGAAGAGGTCTCGAGGCCAGGAAAGCGGAAAAAAGTATAGAACAATAATAATAATGACTATGAGCTGGCGAGTAACCGATAACGACGGCTGGGAGATAACGATGAATATGGGAGAAGACGATAAGAAAAAGATTTTCGATTGTACAGTACAAACCTAGAGCACTCTGGCGACGAAGCTCTGAGTATATTATAAGATATAACCATCTCAAATTTACAGTCGGTATTCGTCTAACCATCATTTTCCGCTATAAAGTTTAAGTGTAGATTTTGACAACATTTGATATTTGTAAAAACAGCTATCATCATTAGATTTTTCTATAAAGTCATATTTGTTTGTTAATGTTTGAAATACTTATACATTTTTGTATAAAATGTAGAATGGAAATATATATTGGAAAAATTGAATTTATTTTATTTACATGCTTATCTATTACTCACGTTCTTTATTACAAAATTCTGTGGATCCATTGCTCTAACTTTAATAAATTAATAAAAACTTTATTATTTAATTCTGTTTACTTTTCACTTGATATAATAAATATAAAAATCAATCACAAGTATAAGTTCAACGTTTAAAACAAACTTTATAATTATTTTACAAATATTATAAAATTTAAACATTTTAGAATAATACATACCTCCGGTGCTATAATTTGATTTTTTGTAGTATGTATATATCTGTAAAATTATAATATATAAATAATTATAATTTATACATATATTAGTTTCCTTATTTTAACAGTAATTTTAAAATGTGTGTCAAGTTCTACGTGATAATATAATACAAATACTTTCATCAATGACGAATAATAAAATTAGGATTCCTGTTCTCTGGACTAAATTATCCGGCGGTCACTAATTAACTGTTACACTCAAACTGCTTATTACAATGATAATATGTGAATATAGAACTAAAATAAGTTATTTTTAAATTTTCTAATTATCGTCTATATAATATGATATGTATTAAAAATGTTTGCCTGACTGTGGTTTGTTATGGACAGTGATAGTTGTAAACAGTTATCTAAACCAAACCCTGATTATTTATAGTTGAATAATTTAAAACTTTGGTTAAGACATAATAAAGATAATATATATGTATGTCCATAGCGATTTTAAAAATGTATTAAATAACATACTACGAATTGCATCTTCCCCCAGTACGGATTCGCCCCACTTATTTTTTTGCTGGAAACAAAATAAAACACAATAAATTTATGATTTGTAATTTTAACATAATATATTAAAATTTGAAGAAGCCATGAAATTAAAAAAAAAAAACAGAAAATTTTCTCCTTAATCGTCATGGCATAATTTCAAAGAACAAGAAAAAATGCTAAACTACAAGTAGTAGAATGTGAGTTAAGATCACATTATTACTCATTATTCAAATACCTACCTAAAGATAAGAACAGATTCTTTTGTTTAACTTGCATCGTGTGAAACTTATTGAGAATCGATAATGATTAATACCTTGTTGTTCTAGTATCTTACTAGCAATAATTAGATACAATAAGTATTTATATTAAATAAGGTATAATACTTGATATATTATATAATTTTTTTTTTATCATTTGCAAAGCGTTAAAAAAGAATGAATACTATTAAAGCGTTAGTTTTTTAATATTCTAATCAGTTTCTAAGGTTTTCCACTAAATAATTTATAATATTAGGTATATTTTGAAAATTTAATTTAATGTTAATTAAGTTAAAATAATTTTTAATAACTGATGAGTATAACATTTAAGAAAAATTTACAAAGCTCACATCATTTAATTTATCTTCAGTTCTTCTACTTATAATTAGTGAATTAATTAATTCATTTTCTGAATTAGGACCACTACGATTTGGACTTTTACTCTCTGCAAATATGAGTTACCACACAATTAATGGAAAAAAAAAAGTTGTTAATTGTATTCATTTATATTTTATTATATATATATATACGATACACACCGTAGATGGTAAAACAGTATATTATATGTTTTAATATTACTTAAAGCGTAGTCATCCGATATATTTTAAATATATAAACTATAAATTCACTAAATTAATTACCGATTGCCTTTACGAGATTGTAACTTACAAATGGTCTGCCATCTACATAAATACATACATCAGACGTTTAATACTCTCTTATACTATATGCAGATTTATGTATCGCAAAATTTTAATATTAATATGTATTGAAAACAAATACGTAATAATTAGAGTTTTGAATTTGTAGGAAAGTATATTTTTTTTAACTGGTTATGAATTTGAATTATGTAACATTTTTTTCAATTATGAAACTTTTGTTCTGAATTTTTCAACATTTTTAAATTTTTGGGTCATAATTTCATTTTTATTTAATTTTTTCGTATTTTTAATCAAATTCTGTCAATAAACATTTTAGAGAACATATTTTTTATTGCACACAGGCTGTATGAACGTCAAATATATATTTTACACAAGCTGTATGCGGCTTAAAGTTAATGATTCGATAACATAAGGCAATATTACTATTTTTATGTGGCATATCAGTATATCATTCACGAATTTCTAGGTTAAATTGGTTAATTAATTATCTTAGTAGGTTAATGTCGTTTAGTACCATTTCGATGTTTGTGAGAGTACTACACTTTTGTCATTTTAAGTACATATTTTATTGCATTTTTTGAAATTTTAAAAGAATTTTTGAAGCTTTTCAAAGTTTTAAATTCACTTGCAGACCTGGTAATAATTATAAAGTAGTTACACCTGTTTCATATGATTGAATATATAATAAATATAACAAACATTGATCTGATAATACTTAATTTTAACACTATAAATAAGTGTACTTACAAATAAACCCCATTAATTTTAAATTATCTGTTGTTTTGTGTCCCACATAAAAAATATAGATAAGTAAACATAAAATTAAATTGAAAATTATAGAATAAGTAGGTAACCACTTTGATGTACATTATATTCCAAATGTTATTCATCAGTTATCAGCAAGGCTCGGGACTTGATGCGCATACATATGCATAATAAAATATCGATTTTTAATTTGACATCTTTATGGGTATAAAAAAAACAAATATGTGTCGAATCCGATTTCTTCTATCTCTTTCTCGAACAAATATGTAAATGCATAAAAAGTCCCGATCCTTACTTTTTCAGTAAGTCACTGTTATATTTATGTCCAATTTGAATAAACAAAAATAAACATTTGTAAAAACGATTCTAAGCAAAGATGATTTGTTCCTATGTATTTTTTAATATATTAATATTCAAATAAACTATTTAATAATAATTATAGAAATGTTAAGTTAAATTGATTTTTACCAAGATCATTATATATAAAAATATCGTAAGTAAGTAATATATTAACATGCGTCAGATGTTTCAAGTAGTCCTGAATAATGTTATTTAATTTGAAAAAAAATAATTAAAATTATAAATCTTCGTTTAAATATACAATTTTATCGAATTGAACTTAAAATATTACTTGCCTTACTTGTATTTTATTTTCAGTTTTATTTGTTTTTACAGTTATTTAGAAAAATACTGTAAGTCTTTTTATTTTTGATATCCCCAAAATAACCAAATGAGGCTAATTTATTTATTTACAACCAAAGATCATTCCGGTTATTACCTATGACTCTAAAAGGTGGTGACAACAAAAAATTGTTATCAAATCAATGCATTTATCACTTCACTTAGAATTTATGAAAAATCTAACTCAATTCGTATAATCCGTTTCAAATAATGTAAGGGCGTACTGCCATGGCCCATCCGAATGAACGCGGGACAACGTCTGGACCCTTCTCCCACAGTATAATTTTATCGATTTCCTATTTGTCGCCGTCGACGACGTCGTAGCAAACAGAAAATTGCCATTACCAGAATGGTCTGCAGCAGCGCTAAATGTAGCGAATGTTTCGATCCGTTTTCGTTTTTTACTGCCAGGTGCATAGTTAACGTTAAAATATGCGTAATTAACGTTATGATTATTAATTACTAATATTAAGTATCTCCATAAATAACTGCATTAAAAACAATTTATTGTAATTTACATTCCTAACATGTTAGACATAAACCGAAACATTTTTATGTATTTCTAACTACAAAATTATTTCTAATTTTCGAGATTTTGACAAATCTAAGAAAATTTAAATTTAAATGTTTAAGAAAAAACAATGTAAATATAAATTTTTAATCTCATACTTTAATGAAATTTACAACGTATGTGCTTGGAATCTTAAAACACACACCATTGCAAAAGCAATACGTTCGTCGCTTTACATAAAATCGAAAATATTATTTGGAAAACAAATCACTAATAGAAAAATAATATATAGTAAAGATTTAAATGTAGATACAGAATAAAAGCTAAATAGAATAGGTAGTTTAAATATCGTATAAGTATGACTAGCACACAAGTTTAGGTAATTTTATCATGGTTATGATATAAAAACGTAAACTGCAAAATATATAAAAAAAAATATACTGACATAAAAAATTATCTTACCTTGGCATCCTAAAAAGTAAAATAAAATAATTTTAACTTAATAAATATGAATACTTAAATTTTATTATAAGATAAAGCTTGAAATATTATAAAATATATTATTTAGGTACATAATACAATTAACAAATTTTATCATAGTTATGTCATATCAATTTGTAAAACGTATTAACTATAATTTACTGATTTTAAATCTATTACTTTGAATTTCTGAAAACAAATATAAAATCTGCATTAAGTTAATTATTTGATATTTAAAATTTTTTTAGTGTTACGTATATTTTAAATTATAATATAAAACACTATGGTGGATCGTGGTATTTATCATTTCAATATTTGGCGTAATTTAAAATGAATGAATTGTTAAAGTCTATGTACTTTTTATGTATTATTATTTTTTATTTAAATTGCAGACGACTTAACATTCTGTGTTTTATTTTATGTACAGCCATACAAGTGCATCGATATGTATATGAGTATAAACACCATATTATGTGTAAAAATTAATTGTACTGTGTAATTTTACAGTATCTTTGTATGTAAACCAAATAATATTTGAATGTAGTTATTGAGTGCACACACAGTCGTCTTTAGTTATGCAGAGATTCTTAGGAACACAGAGTTTTAGAGTTCTTAAACCATTAAAAAAAAAAAAAAGCTATTGTAAACTTATTGCATAAAATATGATGTATCATCCGAATTATATTATAATGAATTGATTTTTAAATACAGATTTAAAATGTTCAAGTATTTTAATATTATCCTAATATTTAATATTAAAATCAATCAATATAATTTATATATCCAAAATAGTAAACTAGAGTAAACAATATATATAATAACTATATAATATATAGCAACTATAATTTATTTATTTATTAATTAAAAATTATCGGATTATGCCCTTTGAATAAATATAGGTAAATAAATACAAATATCGGAATATAATACTATAAGTTGTGTGAATAACAATAGTTATAATAATAATAATAATAATACAATAATGAAATTCAAAAAAAGCTAAATTAACAGTGATGTTGTGTAAATTTGTGTTATTTCATTTTAAAATAATAAATCTATAATCTAATTTTTACTTAAACCTTTTAATCCCTAGAAGTCAATTATTCAGAAATACAATATTTATATACTAATTGTAGTTTTTACCTTTATGGATTTTGGTAATTTCAGTTGCACAGTGGCTTATATTAATTATAAAACTTAATATTATTAAAACTTTATATGAAATCATAGTTTTATGCTTAGATAATTAAAAAAAACGAGTACAAATTTTCTTTACGAAAAACAAACCGAAAATGATCGCATTCAGCATACGTACTATGATAATATATATACCAAAACAAAGCCTATTTATTTTGGGTTATATACATTAAAATGAATAAATAAATATTTTATGTATTTATTTTAAAAACATCTGTTTTAACAATCAAAATGAAATAATGTAATGTGAGGTGGCACAAATATAATAACTTAATTCATAATGTTAAACGGTATACACGTGTAAAAATAAAATTTAAAATATGAAATAAATTGAAGCTAAACTAAATTCTTAAACTCTTAGATTTTATTAAAGGATATGATCAGTGATATTATATCAAATTTTGATTTACATTATTTGGTTCAACAACAATTAAAAAATCTTGATAAGCCACAGCTTTTTCTCCACTCACTTACAAAAGTGACATGACTATAAGCTGTTATTAAATTTACATTCCTAATATTTTGACACAGCTTTTACTATTTTTATTTTATAGTTAATACCAAGAGAATAACAATGATATAAGGTTCATATCATACACACCAATTAACAACTTTTTACCATTATTATCGGTTTACTGGTATTTGTTTTATATATATTCTCAGTTTCTAAATTAAGTTTTATAGCTTATATTATGTATTATATAGTAATACATATAATTTACATCATTTATTCAGTTTTTTACATTAATTATATTGTTTGATTTCTATAATGTAAGCTAAAATAAAATTTAAATATTCAAATATATTAAATATGTACATGGGAATTCTAACGAATCATAATTTAATTCTATTACAATACAATGATATATTATTTATGCATATAAAAATAAATATAAATATAATTATATGCAATAACCTATATCTACAGTTTTATGTTTTACATTTTCTTATATAAAAATTTGGGATTAATTACTCTTTGATAGCAGCATGTATAAACAACAAATGGTATATTACTTTATTTGCATAAATTGTGGTTAACGTGACATAATATAGGTTACCAATGTTATACATTTTTTGTATTTCAAAAAGTTATCGTATAAAATATAAACTATTAAATAATGTGTTGAAATAAAAAGAATAATTAAAAAGCGCGCTAAATTGTATTAAAAAAAAAAATATTTAAATCAAGATACAGATTTTCCAAGTCGGGTGTTTTTCGGTTTTTATTATCTTTATTGTTTCTGAAAATCTGTAGTAACATAAGTACTCAGGCCAATCATGTCAATAGCTTGGATAAAAAATTTAATAGGAGTACTTTTCGTTTGTAAAGACCATGGTATAGGTAAAAACGGGTAAGACTATGTTTACCCAATTATCACTTTTTACTTTTTGCCCAAATATTTACAAAAAAATATTAAATACATTAAAGCGAAACTCAAATTTTGAACTGATAAGATTTACTTACGAAATGTATTTAAATATATAAGTTATTGCTAATTAGTCAAAATTAAAGAGTTATTTAATCTTAGCTCTTATTTAACATATATGAGTTATATAAAATCGCTAAAACTACTGATAATCTTAATAACTTTTTATAAATTTCGCTTTTTTATCATTCATAAATATATCTGATTCAAAAGAAAACCATAGATACTTTTGACTATTATTTATGAACAGCATTAAGTGTAGAAAACCGAAATATTATCCAGATGTATATAATGAATCATTGATAAGAATTTATCTAAATAAAAATTTTCTTCAGGGTTTTGATTAAGACATAAGATAAATGAGCTTTGTGCAGATACAAAAAATAAATAAAGCAATTATTTGTATACTTGGGACGAAAAACGAGCTTAAAGATTCATTAACTTTTTTTATTTACAATTAATCAGTTTTTTTTCTCTAAAACATAAATTAGGTAGCAAATATAAATTACACCACTGATTTATAAATGTTTTCAAATTAGTACTATTTACTTTTATTGAAAAATATACACAATAAATATTGTTTTTGAATGCATGTTTAGTTTTAATTTGATTCATCATTCAACACAGTAATTACATAATATAATATGTAGATAAGTAAAATTATTAATATCAATTATCTAAAAATATTTTTCAGTAATAAATAATCAATGTTGGCGTTGAAATCTATTTTAGTAATAAAATCTTTACAAAGCTCAGAATTTTGAAATATATTTAGTCCGCTGAAATGTGTAAAAATAGGTAGTAAAAGTATCAATAAACATATTATAATATAATATTCAATTATACATAGCATGTACTTAATGTACTGAAATGTATATAATAATTCAACTCAATACAAATAATACATAAAAGAATAAAATTATAAAATACTTCCTACATATTATATTATAGCCTATAGGAAACATAGCAATTCTATGGCCGGCTGTAATACACATTTTTATGTTCACATACATGTATATTATATTATTTGATCAGTCATACGCCAGTTGAAGCCTACAAACAAGTGCAGTGGGTCAATATTTGTACATATTGTACACGTTATACCACAATGAAATTTTAACCAAATTTTACTTCATTAATATTATTTATTTTGATTTTATAAATTCAAGATTTTAATAATTTTAAAACAACCGATATTCGGTATATTATATCATGATGTGGATATTATAAATTATAGCATAATTATCTTATATCGGAATGTATAAAATGGGCGATACACGATTCCGCACAATATACCTTTTTACCTACCCGATTCCGCACATTTTCATTATACAAAAGATTTTTTCTATTTAACCCAAATTCAACACGATTCCGCATAAAAATTGTGGCGACGTTACCAGTTATGAGGGAAAATAATTATAGCAATAATATTAAATAAAACAGAAAAATGTATTTCAATTCTGCCGTAAATTTGTTAAAGTAAAAATAAAAATAGTGAAATTAGTACAAATAAATAATTAAAATAAATAAAAATATTACAATTTTTTCCCTTGATATCGATAATCAACTTGTGATAAAAATTGAATTACATAAATTTGGTTCTTTTCATAGTTATTGTAAGCATTTATGGTGAATTCCATTCGCTCTTTTTCTTTCGCGTTCAATATTTTCCGATCATTATATAAGGAAATTGATCTGATTTTAGTTTCAGTTTCCAACTGAAATTCCATCAACACTTTTATAACTAATTAAATATGTGGACGATGGTGATGAAATTGTCCGTTATATATGCGATGAAAGCTTTCAGAACCATTAGTTGTCATATAAAAAATATAAATAACTATTTTTATTAATTAATTTTACCTTGGATTCATTGAGGGCTTTTCTGCCCATTATTCTGGTGGAAGTAATCATTAATTTTCAATGTAATTCTTCAAAATATAGTCGCTGATCAAAGATCTTAAAACATCGTTGGGGCGAATACTTATAAGTTCAGTGAATGTTTAATTTACTTCATGACATGCAAGGTAAGGAAAAGCGAAAAATTGCTTCAACGACTTTCGGATTTCACATTTAAATCCATATATCTTTCTCTCAAACCAGATTAAAAAATAACTATATAATATTATTACATTTTGTAATGAAAATTGTAGGACTCGACGTGTGAGTTAACTAACTATTCTTGTTATATATTTTGTAATTCTACTATTATTTTTTTTTAAATAATTCAATTATATTTATGAATAAACATAAATAATAATTATTAACAATGACCACACTCGTCGAGTGCCAGTCAATGTCTAGTTTTGGAAAAAAAGTTTTATCGTTGTTAGTATTGACCTAAAACTTTATCACTTCAAAACACAATCGACAGAAACTGATTTAAATTCCTTTTTAATACATTTGAATGTGTGTGAAGAGTGTAGACACTATCAATGTTATTGTAATTATTATTTCTAGGATTTGAGGTAAATGATTATCAGTTACGGTCAATGGTTTTCAATGACAATATAATATTTTATGCGACGATTCACGATTACCTTACCTTTTCATTAACACGATTCCACACAAAACTAATTTGCGACGTTGTCGATTGTATTATAAAAATTATTTTTAACATAAAAATGGTTGATATTCATATTAAATATAAGTCATATTATAACATTATTTTGGTTTTTCCACATACACTAGCTTATCTAAATAGTATACGGTTTATTACATATATGTTCTATCTGGACTCATCAGTTATCTGTTCTATATTAATTCGTATTTATGTACATATTACAATCCGTAATATTGCGTGTTTTACTGTTGTCTTATAATTTGTAAATTTAAAATTTAAAATGAATAATTTAAAAAATTTAGAAATTCGCCTCATATTGTTTGAGAAAAATAATCGCAGAAAATTGCACTTAAAGTTTTTAGATTTTTAGTTCGTACTTACATGACACGCATTTTAAACTTACTTAGCAACTGAAAAAGTAAAAAAAAAGTTGCAAATGCAACAACATTCGCACCATGATAATAATAAAACAGTTAACTGTAAAAATTTATCGTGTAATAAGTACAGGTAAATTTGGCGCAAATAGGCGATCGGAAAAAGTAGCTTTTTTATTTTTGCGCAAATGGGCTATACCTAAAACGATTACCTTCTTTTACCCATTTGGTAATTCCCAAAAGGATAGATTGCAGGTGGCTGGAAACCCGCGGGCCGCCGTGTCGCACAATATGTATTAATTACTCCACTAAAACGCAACATTTTTGAAAATCCTTTCTTATTGCACGGTGAAAATATGAAAAGAACCTCTATTCCAAATTTCAAGTACGTACGTTGAATACTTTTTGAGATACAGCAATCAGTGAGTCATTGGTATTTGGATTTTATATGTTTAGATTTGTTAATTTTAGTTATTATTTATAATTATCAAACTTTATAGCAATGTTTATATCTCTGTGTAAAAATTAATTACTTGCATAAACATTTATAAAAAATAAACTTTTAAGTTTGCAAATTTTTTTTTATGAGATTTATTTTTATTGTTTTAAAATTGATAACCATTTAATGTAAAATACAATTTTTCATGTTATCCGTATTATACTTAGAAGTGATCATGATACTAATTCTGAAGAAGAGGCAACTGATTCCGAGATAGACAAGGCATCTGAAAATGTCAATAAT